TGGAGAATAGGTTGATCCCCTCTTCTTAGTGGCAGCCCCTAAGATATTAACAACTATTAACAGCTGTCTTGCTTAGTAACATAAATTTTGGGCTCAGTGCCTTGATCAGTTTCCATCCAAAGAACAGGACAAGAAGCAACAGATGGATTAGATTAAGTTAGCAGAAGGGACCTTGTGGGTCATCTAGTCCAACCCTCTGCCCAAGCAGGAGATCCTACACCATTTCTGACAAATGGCAGTCCAGTCTCTTCTTGAAAGCTTCCAAGGGTGAAGCTCCCACAACTTCCGACGGCAACTTCTATTCCAAGGGGTTGATTCTTCTCACTGTCAGAAAGTTTCTCCTTATTTCCAGGTTGAAAAATCTCTCCTTGTTCAGTTTCCATCTATTATTCCTTGTCTGGCCTTTGGGGGCTTTGCAAAATAGCTTGACCCCTTCCTCCTCTCTGGGGCAGCCCCTCAAATATTGGAAGACCGCTATCCTGTCTCCCCTGGTCCTTCTCTTCACTAGACTAGCCAGGCCCTGTTCTTGCAACCGTTCATTGTATGTTTTAGCCTCCATTCCCCTCATCATCCTGGTTGCTCTTCTCTGCACTCTTTCATCAAGGAGAGAAGCAACCTGGAGTTAAGGAGGAACTTCATAACAGTGAGGACAATTAACCTGTGGAACAGCTTTTGCCACCAGAAGTTGTAGGTGCTCCATCAGTGGAGGTTTTTAAGAGGAGACCGGACAGCCATTTGTCACGAATGGCCTAAGATCTCATGCTTGAGCAGGGGGCTGGACTAGAAGACCTCCAAGGCCCCTTCCAGCTCCTTTCTGATTCTGACTGTAATTGTTCTCACTGAATGTCTCTATGGCCTGGTTGTATCTCCCTTTGACAAGTTTCCATCCATTGCCTCTTGTCATGCCTTCAGACCAAAAGAGTTGTACACAGAGAGAGAGACAAAGAGAGAGGGAGGGAGGGAGGGAGGGAGAGAGGGAGGGAGGGAGGGAGAGAGAGAGAGGAAGGGAGGGAGAGGGAGAAGGAGGGAGAGAGAGGCAGAGGGAGGGAGAGAGAGGGAGGGAGGAAGGGAAGGAGAGAGAGGAAGGGAGTGAGAGGGAGACAGAGAGGGGGAGGGAAGGGGAGGGAGGGAGAGGGAGAGGGAGGAAGGAAGAGAAAGAGAGGAGGGAGGGAGGGAGAGGAAGGGAGGGAGGGAGAGAAGGAGAGCGAGGAAGGGAGGGAGAGGGGGAGGAAGGGGGAGGGAGAGAGAGGAAGGGAGTGAGGGAGGGAAAGGGAGACAGAGAGAGATAGAGGGAGGGAGAGAGAGAAAGAGAAAGAGAGAGAGAGAGAGAAAGTTGTGAGATGGATAACCAACTTGGGCATCCAAAGGAGACCTCATCTTAAAAGTCAAGCAGCTGTCAAGTGACCTTCAAAGGCTCTTGATTTTTATCAAGGCCTCTGAAGGGAGCTTGGATTACTGGCAAGCCGGTTTACTCAATCGCCGAACTTTGACCAGAAAAAGAAGAAAGTAAATCTGAGTTTGATCAATGGAGGACAGCCCTGTGAACAGCGGGATTGAGTTACCCACTGAGAGCAGAAGGTATTTATTTCCACGGCCGAGGCAACCGAAAGGGAAGAGAGAGAAAGTTTAAAAGACTCAATTAGAAACCTTTCCTCGCGACCTCTGGAAATAATCTAAGATGATCTTTTCGACTTGAAGAGGGGAGTTTGCAGAGAAGCTTCAGAAGAAGTTGTCTGGAAGCAGCCAGGAGGTCAGAAAAGCGGGCGGGCAAAAGCCGCTATTTCCCTCCCACCACAAACTTCGTTTCTTCCTTCGGCCGAAAGAAACGCCAGCGATGGTGGCAAGAAAAGTTCAGCCAACAACTGGACTGAAAAAGGCGACTCCATTCTAGCCGGGTCTTCGCCGAGAAGAAGACGAAGTGAAGTTGGCTGTCAGGATTCCCAACAGTTTACCTCAATGAAATCCTGAGTCTTGAGCCAAACTTCCAAAACTTCCAAAGGATTTATTGGGAGTTAACATGCCGGCACCGCCTGGGTGTAGCCGACTCTGAGACACATCATTCATTGGCACCCTTGACCCTGGTTTTCCCCCCAGGGAAAAAATTTTTCTCGGGTCTTTTTAGAGTTGCCATTGGGATGAAGACCCAGGAGTAAAAATATATATATATATTTTTTAAACTACTTTCTTTTCTGTTTGCGCAGATTCCTCGACTTACGACTCCAATTGAGCCTAGATTTTCCGTGGCTAAGCCAGAGAGTTGTTAAGTGGGTTTTGTCCCATTTTAGGTCCTTTTCTTGCCGCTGTTGTTAAGTGAATCACTGCAGTTGTTTAAATGGGTCACACAGTTGACGACAATTCATTGGTTGGAATGACTTGACTCCAGACGTTGTGGCTGTTCCATCACCAGAGGTTTTTAAGAAGAGATTGGACAGTCATTGGTCTGGAATGGTAGAGGGTCTTCTGTTTAAGCAGGGGGTTGGACTAAAAGACCTCTAAAGTCCCTTCCAGCTCTGTTATTCTATGTTCTACCCTGTTTCCCCGAAAATACGACCTTCCCTGAAAGTAAGTCCTAGCTTGATTTTTACACATGCACCCAATATAAGCCCTACCCCCAAAATAAGCCCTAATTAAGATCCCACCCACTCCAGAGTGGACAGGTAAAAATTAAGCTAGGGTGGGGATTGGTGGGGTGTAGCTGCCCTACTACTTACCTTTGGACAGTTGTAGCCAGGCCTCGCACACCCCGACACCTGCCTTGCCGGCCCATTTCTTCTGCAGTCAACAAGGCTGGCAAGGTTTTCCTGAAGGCCTCTGGAGCTGAGAACAAGCTCTGGATTGATCCAGAGCTCTGTTACTGGGTGAAGAGGCCTTCAGGAAAGCCTTGCTGGCTGCAGAATAAGTTCTTGAAGGTCTCTGACAGCGAAAAGAAGGCTGGGGATGACATGTGCAAGTAAGGTTAGTCAGCGGATGACATCCCTCAAAAATAAGACCTGGTGCCTTTTTTTGTGGAGATATATATGTGTGTTTTCTGAGGTTTTCGCAGGTATTTGTATGTGGATCTTTGGTTATTTGGGTTTTCTCCCGCATAGAATTGGAAGTGTCTAGGTGACATTTCGATGAAGTCTCATTCATCATCTTCAGGCTTGTGTCTGAGAAGCACAAAGCTGAAGACACAAGCCTGAAGATGATGAATGAGACTTCATCGAAACGTCGCCTAGACACTTCCAATTCTACGCGGGAGAAAACCCAAATAACCAAAGAGAGAGAGAGAGAGAGAGATGTATGTATGTATGTATGTATATATAAGACAGGGTCTTATTTTTGATGAAACACAGTATCTGAGCCTCAAGAAGCAAGACAACCAGTATAATCCAACCTGGGAAGTTGGAAGTTTACTCTTCCGAGCTTTTGGACTCGCGCTGGAGCTCATTCACAGGGAACTTCTCCGAGGTTGGGCTCCAGCACCAATTAGAAAGTTCAGAAGACTAAACTTCTGGACTCGATGACCGACCCAGATTGGATCCTGCGCCATTATCCTGGGACACGCAGATTTGCCTTCATTCGTGACACCCAGTAGATATAGAGATACGCAAACTCAAATCTTTCAATGCTCCCTGGATTTTTCGTCCAAGACGGTCGCCTTTCTTGGAAACCGAACAGAACATTAAAAAAAAAAAAATTCAGATGCTAGCTAATACAAAACTTTTTAAGGCCCACTTCCTTCCAAATTTCTCTCCTTGCCTTATAGAAAACAACCCCCTCTTTTTTTTTTTGGTTTCCATTCTGCTTTCCAACTCCCTCTATGCCTGCTGTACGCCGGGACGCCTTTCCTCCTGCATGGCGAAGACCGAAACGTGGTGGAGAAATCAATTCTCTCAACTATAGAATTGGGGGAAGTGGAAATAAGAAGCCAGTTTCATGAACGGCACAGAGAACAGAGAAAGGGAAGAAGCCTGTTGTGGCGTCTCCGTGAATAGCCAGCCGCAAACAGACTCACTGCCGGAGGGTTTTCTCTAACATTGACTGCCAGCGCCCTGAGATCGCCTTTGAAACTGGCTAAGCAGCCAATTGCTTCTCTAGACCATAGTTCTGAAGAGGCTCCATGCGGAGAGCACAAAAGCAGGAGCTCAGTTTTCCACCAAGGCTCGGAGGAAAAGAAAGTGTTCCCCCTGGGTTGGGTCATTTCCACCACCCCCCTCAAAAAAAGAGAGGCCTTTTTCTCCAGAAAGCATTGAATCAAAGATTCTGAGGGGCACCCGTTGCTTCCAGGTCATTTCGCTTCCTGCCCGCCCGCCGAAACCATTGCTTTGGTTCCCCAGTTAGGGGCTATTTAACATGGGGGACTTAAAAGTTTCTTTGTTTAGGAAAATTATTTGCTGCCCATCCCATATCCAAGGACTTTCCTGGGTAGCTGACAGCATAAAAAACATGAAAGCGTTCAAAACCTCAGCAATCGCAGAGGTGAGGGACTAGAACTCACAGCCCCCTGGCGATTGGCCCAAAGTCACCCAATTGCCTTTCACGCCTAAGGCAGGACTAGAACTCACAGCCTCATGATGATTGGCCCAAAGTCACCCAATCGCCTTTCATGCCTAAGGCGGGAC